CTTCATCTTCATCTGTGTCATCAACAGTATCATTATCAGCATTATCATCCTCATCGCCTTCATCTTCATCTGCGTCCGTCATTGTCATCTTCGTCGTCCTCGTCGATATCCTCATCTTTATCATACTCATCTTCATCAGCGTCTTCCAGTCATCGTCATCGACGTCACCATTGCGGTTATCATCAGCGTCATTATCATTGTCGTTATCTCCATCCGCCTAATCAGTATAATCGACGCCATCCCGTCATATTCATAGTCATTGTCTTCGTCTCATCATTATCATCATCATCATCATCATCATCGTTAGCATTGGTGTCAGCCCTCCCGTCCAGCCTGGAGGGGTGACGGAGAGAAGAGGTGGAACGAAGTGAAAAAACCGGCTCCCATCATAAAGGCGATTCACCCGGTCGGATCACGAGGGCGGATAACAACGCGCAAGCTGGCCAAGGCCCGGTAGGTCCGAGACGCCAATTGGCAGGTCCCAGAGAAGAGCAGCCCAAATGACGTGGTCAAGTCGTACATTATCGATTCAGTGCGAGTATACGTGAGGAGGGTAAGGGGGGAAATTGGAATTGCGAGCGGTTTATTTGCGGATGAGGGTGGGAGGAGGGAACAAGGAGGTGGTGGGGGAGGAGAGTAGTTTGAATGAGACGGCGCCGAGGTGTAACTAGACTGAGAGACGCTCACCGTGCTTTGCGTTGTCAAGGTCGTATACACCCAATTTTTATCTCCACCTCCATACACACTCGCCTGGCGTCGGGGCACAGTCTTTCGAGCCGGTTTGGAGGCATTCCTTTCCATCTTGCGACCTCGGCGCTAGCACGTGCTTACATGGAAGACACAGGTGTAAGCTGCACGGCCTCGTGACTGTCGGCGCCCAGCCAATCAGAGGAGGGGAGTCGCGAAGGCGGAACATTTGCGCGGCAAGCTCGCCTCTGATTGGTGCAGGCGAGCGGAATAGACCTAGGCGTTTGTGACTCTATCTGTACGCTGACAGGGTGACAGAGCACACGAGTGAGAGCACGGAGTCAGAGTTTGTCTGAAAGCTGGGTCAAAGTGTGATAAACACCGACGTGCCAGCCGGCCTGGCAGGAGCTGCACTTTTGCCGGATGCCTCGGTGTCTGCCGCCCGCCCATCCGCCCATCCGCCCATCCGCCCATCCGAGACGAAAGGCCGCCGGCGCTTGATTGTTTGAATGGGCCTTCAGAGTCAGCCCGACAAGGCTGAATGTGCCCAGAAATTTCAGCGGGCCTTGTCGTCACTCGATTGGCTAGCCGGCTGGATGGTTGGCTCGCCTGCTGATTGGTCTGTTGGCCGGCTGGCTGACTGACTGGCTGGCTGGCTGACTGGCGGAGCTGATCGACCGCACGAGGCATAGTCAGCAGAGCCAGGCGTTGTTTGTGCGTTTACTTGCCGCAAATTGGTCTTGTCCACATCCGACTCTTTTTGACAATGCATGAATCACTACTCGTTACTGTCAGCACGTATTGATTTTCGCCTAGCCGACGTGGAGCTGTAAAAACGCGGCTCACTTGTAGCTGGCGGCCTGGCGCGACGTGGGACCGAGGTGGGCCGCGGCTGCGCGGAAGAGTACCGCCGGGGCGAGAAGCCCAATCACGGCAGGCAGTGCATGGGCGCAGACCCGAGGAGAGACGAGGCTGCAGCTTTGTTACCGTGCCAATCGGCCACCGGGACGACGACGACGACGACGTGAGGTCGTTCGGACTGTCTGGGTTGGGCGTGCGTCAGGAGCTATACATATGTCTGCAATCGGGCACTCGTGTGTGTGTGTGTGTGTCCACATTGCCAGCTGCGTCGGTGACAAAGGTGACCGTGA